ATGATGTTTACATGTTTACATTATACTGTTTATGTGTTAACAATAAGTTGTTTACATGTTTACATTTTGATGTTTGCATGTTTACATTATACTTTATGTGTTAATAAGTTGTTTACATGTTTACATTATGATGTTTACATGTTTACATTACGATGTTTACATGTTTACATTATACTGTTTATGTGTTAACAATAAGTTGTTTACATGTTTACATTATGATGTTTGCATGTTTACATTATACTGTTTATGTGTTAATACTTAGTTGTTTACATGTTTACATTAAAATGTTTGCATGTTTACATTATAATGTTTATGTTTTAATAATTAGTTGTTTATATGTTTACATTATGATGTTTACATGTTTATGTTATACTGTTTATGTGTTAACAATAAGTTGTTTACATGTTTACATTATGATGCTTACGTGTTTACATTATGATGTTTACATTATACTGTTTATGTGTTAACAATAAGTTGTTTACATGTTTACATTATAATGTTTGCATGTTTACGTTATACTGTTTATGTTTTAATAATTAGTTGTTTATATGTTTACATTATGATGTTTACATGTTTATGTTATACTGTTTATGTGTTAACAATAAGTTGTTTACATGTTTACATTATGATGTTTACATGTTTACATTATGATGTTTACATTATACTGTTTATGTGTTAACAATTAGTTGTTTACATGTTTACATTATGATGTTTACATGTTTATGTTATACTGTGTATGTGTTAACAATAAGTTGTTTACATTATGATGTTTACATGTTTACATTGTACTGCTTTGATCTGATGACAGACACTGACTCTTTCTGCTGCAGCACTTTGAGCCTGTTTCCTCCTGATGTTTTGAAAAGATATGAACAGTTTCATTTTTGTGCACCTTATTACATCAGAGTAAACACAAAAACAACCACAGCCTCAGCAGCAAAACATATTAAATTTACTTTAAACTTTCATTCCTGATCTTCATGTACAGCAGAAAACAATAAAATTACCCTACATCCTCCATGATGACCTTCACGTGAAGCAGTGGGACATGGTTTTCACTGTGACTGAATGTTTGAAGTTGTCTTTTCGTCCTCAGTGAGGTATTCTGGGGAGAGTATTGGACATTGGACCGCAGCCTGTTATTCTCATGTCAGCCTTCAGGCCTGTCAGGTAGAGGACCTCTCAGCTGTACGCAGATATGTTGACCTTACTCTGAAGGCAGAACTCCTAACTGATGGACAGGTATAGAAGAAGTGAGTAAAGCTTTGAGGACTTGAGATGATCCCTGAAGCTGAAACCCTGGGCGCCTCTGGTTTAGAGGTCAGGACAGTGTGTCCCACAGCCTTCTAACTGGCAGCCAGCCTCTTTAATTACTGAGCTTCCTTTAGTGGGAGAACCTCTGAGCAATGTTTCCACCTCCTAAAAATACCCCCGGCAGCAGCAGCAGGGTCCAGACATTCCATGTGCTGTTCCGCCCCGCACGACTCGAAGCTGCAGACTGGAGGCTTGTTTTGGCAGAAGAGACGACTCTAGGAGGGTTTCCTCAGTCTGAGCGCACTCAGTCGGACTCTTCTACCTCTGAAGTTCAGAGCTGCAGCTCAGAGGTTCCTCTGCGTTCACAGAAGAACACAACGTATGCCGTCCTTGGTCTGTCCTGGATTCTGACAGCTTTCTGTTCACTTCAGGACCTGACCCGCCTGTTAGCTTAATGCACAAACATCTGGAGGATCTGGAAACCTCACCGAATCACCGGTACCTCCACACCAGAACTCTGTGGATCCACAGCTGTCCTTGGTCCTACCCCCACCATGTAAACTGGACGTGGAGCTCCTCCTTTGAGACAGCTCTCCTACGGACTCTTTGCCGAACATTCTCCTGAGGACTGAAGACGAGCTGTGGTTTGATTTTTAGGATCGTTCCAGATCTTTAAAAGTTGAACAGCTGGACTGAACGTTTTCATTGACAGAACCACAAACTGCAGGATCCCAGACTGGACCACGGTACATTCCTTAAAGCACCTCTTGGTTCTGCTGTTGAAGCCGGCACATTCAGCCTCTCTGTTGGAGAAAACGTTCTGATCCGTGTGAGTCAATAAAATTTGAAGATGAGAGAGTTGTTCCCGGTTCCTGTGAGGCAGCAGAGAGAACGCCTCACCAGCCTCCCTTCTCCTCCCTCCCTCTCCTTCCCCATCACCTCCTTCTCCATCCAAACCTCCAAGAAGTTCCCCTTCTTCCACGTGGTTAAATGCAGCAGGTACGGCTGCAGGACCTCCATTTACCTGAAGGGTTTTATCTGATGTTCCGTCTAAACGTTCCTTAAGGTTCCAGGAGTTCCTAACATGGTTCTGTTGTTTCCAGGTACGAGGCAGAGAACGCCTTCTTCTCCGGTCTGAAGCTCAACGACTTCAACATCATCGACACGCTGGGAGTCGGAGGCTTCGGACGCGTTGAGCTGGTACGATTCCATCCCTAGACTCGGTCCCAGTTAATCCAGATTAATCCAGATTAACTGGGACTGCCAAATTCCTCATCAGTCAACTGGAATCAGGGACTCACAACCGATGTTAGGGTTTAATTTAAACATGTTTCAGACCCGGTTCAGACCCGGTTCAGACCTGTTTCAGACACGGTTCAGACCAGGTTCAGACCAGGTTCAGGCCTGTTTCAGACCCGGTTCAGACCAGGTTCAGGCCTGTTTCAGACCCGGTTCAGACCAGGTTAAAACCCAGTTCAGACAAGGTTCAGACCAGGTTCAGACCAGGTTCAGACCCGGTTCAGACCTGGTTCAGACCAGGTTCAGACCCGGTTCAGACCCGATTCAGACCTGTTTTAGACACGGTTCAGACCAGGTTCAGACCCGGTTCAGACCAGGTTCAGACCTGGTTCAGACCCGGTTCAGACCCGTT